GCTGAGCCTTGAGCAACCTGCTCTGGTGGGAGGTGTCCCTGCCCAGGGCAGGGGTTGGGGCTGGATGATCTCTAAGCTCCATTCCAACCCCTAAAATTCTGTGATTCTATGATATTGTGTAAACTCTTCAGTAGAAAGCTGTGACAATAAACTGGGACTAGAAGTGACAACCAGCACAGATGGGATCTCTGATGTCTAGTAAGAGGAGCAGTTGTGCCTTCCCTGCAGGCATAAAGAAGATTTCTGCCTTATACCAAGCCAGTTCTCTTCACAGTGAGCTTTGAGACCTTCAGGCTCTGCCAAATTGGGTTGAAAAGGCAAAAAAAGGGTGAAAGCTTAGTAAAGTGCAGGTGCACAGATACACACACAGCCTGGTGCCATCAGCCTTATTTCCTTAGAAAAATAACTACAGCAACTCCAGTGTAAAGTCAGATCACACGGCAGAGAGGAAAAATGACAGAGGAAAGTCCAAGAAGCATTTTGCAGGATATGACCTTTTCAGGGTCCTGGGGTCTGTTTCCAGTGCCTGCAGTGGGGCTGTGCCATCAGCCACTGTGGCAGACTCTGTCCCTCCCCACTCTCCTTGCCCTCTTTAGCATTCCATATGCCCCCCCCCCCCCCCCCCCCGCCGAGGGAACAGACACAGCTGTGCTCTCCTCAACATGGGAAAATCCCTTTTCCTGACACTTCTGTTGCCAGTAGCTTAGGGGAATATTGTTGACATCCTTCACCCAACTACACAACACTCAGAGCTGGACAATGCACATCCCAGGGCTAGAAACTCCACGGGCCCACGTAGCATTTTCACTCCGTAGAGCCTAACAAGCTCTGCATGAAGGAAGACAAACTTCTTTAGTAGGGATTGGAGGAGGAATGATACAGAGAGAGGTCCAGCTCACAGTCCCATGAGCAATGATGAATTCATTTGCCTCACTTAATCCTTTTGGTTTTATGGACAAAGGCCTGAATTCCCTAATCCTCCCTTGCACATCATCCTGTTGAGCACACTGCCCATGTGCTCTCAGGCTCAGGCTGACTTATGGATCCTGTCAAACTTGGGAAAACATATCTGAAATGCTGGTTTTGAACAGTGTCCATTTTCTAAACATATCACTTTCTGGCTGATTACCACTCAGACATTAGGCAGGAGCTTTGTTCCCTCTGCCTCAGCTGCTGGAGGAACCTAACCTGAACTAATCAGCCCCAATTCATGGCACTGCAGCTGGTTGCTGTGGAGATAGCCTGAGGCCCTGAGCTGCTTTCCTTGGGCCTTTCAAACTCTTGTTTGCATCTGATCAGCCCTAGATATCACAAACGGTGGATTAAGCCTTCAGAGGAAGAATAAATATTAACACACTCAGTCCTAAAGGGAGGAAAAGAGACTTTCTGTGAACCTAAAATCAGATGAGAAACCCAAAGGCTCAACCATATGATATAGAAACTGAAAGTCCTCTAAGCTGTTTGGTTTATTAAAAACATCTTCCAAGTGGAAGCTAGTCTTGAGATTTCAGGGATGGTGATTCTACCACTTCCCTGGGCAATCTATTCCAATGCTTTTTAATTCTTTCCAAGAAAATATTTTTCTGATATCTAATCTAAACCTCCCCTGACACAACTCAGGCCATTTCCTCTCATCTTGACACACTTGTTCCCTGGGAGGCACAGTCACATCACACAGGATGGTTGTGAGTTCACTTCACTCTGAATATTCTCATTGCAGAAGTGTGGAAATAATAAAGTTTTTTTCCTTTAAATAGTGGAAACCAACTGATCTCAGGGTTAAAGCTGTACCTTTCTGGATGGATGAAGCGGCTGGTAGGGAAATATTCCATGACAGAAACATAGACAAATTCCTGGGCCTGACTGATGACACTGATGATAGCAGAGAGGTCCTGGGTACGACCTGCTGGACAAAATGCTGGAGGAGAAGCCTGTAAAGAAGAAAACACAGAGATCAGTGGGTTCATTCCTTTTTTTTTTTTTTTTTCTGTCAGACTGTGACTCATTTATATTCAGATCTGTCCAGTTTGCATTAAAACAGCACAAAGCACTTGAGGTGGATCATTGCCATTCCTCATGCCTTCCACATCCTGGGGGGTCAGAGAGTTACTGAGACATTGAGCCACAGGTGAATTAAGGAGACCTGCACCATAATTCCTGGCTGTGAACACTGCCAGGGTTGGGGCAGCCACAGCTTCCCTGGGCAACCTGGGACAGTGTCTCACCACCAGAACAGGGAAAACTTCTGCCCAAGATCTAACCTCAATTTCTCCTCTTTCAATTTGTGCCCATTGCCCCTTGTCCTGCCCCTGCAGCTCCTAACACAGATCCCTCTGCAGCTTCCCTGGAGCCCCTTCAGCCCCTGGAAGGTGCTCTGAGGTCTCCACACAACCTTCTCTTCTCCAGGCTCAACAGCTCCAACTCCCTCAGCCTGTCCTCACAGGGGAGATGCTCCAGTGCTCTTAGCAACTTGGTGGCCTCCTTTGGACTTGCTCCAACAGTTCCATGTCCTTTACTTTCCTGTTTAAAGAGTTCATCTTGCTCACATCTTATGTTGCCTTCAGTTCCCTCCCTGACCTCCTGCCTTCCTGTCAGGCCAGAAATGTGTTATTTAACTCTTCTGAACTTCATTGTTAGAATGAAAAATGAGAGAGAAAGGGCCACAGTTATTCATGCCATAAGTTATAAACCTTGCAGGGAACTTCACAACAATTCTGTGCTTTCTTTGTGATCAGATGCTACATGTAATCTATAAAGATACAAGGACATGAAACATTATCTTACTATATTAATTATGTCATAATTATTAATGTCTAATCACAATATCAATATTTTATATACTTACACAATTATATATATCTCTCTATACCTACAAGTACAACACATAAGTACTGAGGACTTACAGTTACTCACAAGTAACTGAGCACTGCTGAACAACCTTTTCTGGCCAATCCTCCAACACACTTTATAGCCTATCTTGTTATTTTCAGACATACTTACAGAAAAATAGGCTTTAGTCAAGATTCCATTAAATTCTACTTCCAGAGGATGGTACTTGTTAATGTGCGTAGAGTAATTCTGAGGCCAAGGGAATGGGATGGTGGCATTAGCATGTCCAAGGTCCCAGTAGGTACTAAACGTTTTCCAGAGGTCTTTGGCCAAGCAACTGCAGTTGTATATCACAGCACCAAACTCTTTCACCTGCCAAGAGAGCAAGGTCCGTCACAGACCCAGAAGGAGCCACTTTCAGGGGTTTCTTTGCTGTTTCTTCCACTCAGTCAGCATATTACATCATGATTACTTTTCCCTGTTATGTGCTAGAACATGAATTCCACACCCCCAGATTTTTGACCATGCAGCAGCAGAACTTACCTGAGATAAAGATCTCCAGTCCATGTTTGCACTACCAATATAGATGTGTTTCATGTCTACTATCCAGAATTTGCTATGCAACACTCCTCCTGTCAAGTGGCCAAAATCAATCTTTCTCACATGAGCCCCTGAAGAGGGAGGAGGAGAAGGAGAAAGAGCTCAGATTCAGCATGGAGATGGTTCCCTAAAGCCAGAAGGTGTCTAGCTCTTGCAGCCAGTAATAACTACCACAAGTCAAGAGTTCTCATTCCTGGGAACACAATAACTTGCAAAAATGTGAACTCTCAGAAAGATCCTTAAGGGTGTGACAACATACACAAACTATGAACGAGTCAGTGAACAGATACTGCCTGTCCTGGGAACCCACACAAGCACAACAGGCCTTGGAGACCAGTTCCCCTCACCTGCCTTTTTGCAATGCTGAGGTTCTGAGGGTGTCACTGAAGGGAAATAATTACCTTTCTCCTCTAAAAGCTCCAGGTCTGTTGAATTTGTAGCCAAAGTTGGCACACTTGCTGCAACATACAGAGAGACATTGTCTGCAAGTAACCTCCCAAACCTCTTCAGGATATCTTCACCCTGTGTGGTACATTGGTATTTTTGGTATGTGGTTATAGAACATCTAGGAACATATATGCAGGTACAGTGCTACTGATTGGTGCTTCCTTTGAAGAACCCAAATGCAAGGAAGGTCAGAAACTGAACCTATTTCAGGAGTGTTTCAAGTAGAGAAAAAAAAAGGACCAAAGATTCTCATCCAATGTATGAATCCAAGTTTGGTTTCTGTTGTTTAAAACCATCCCTGGAGGTTTTCAAGGTGAGACTGGATGTGGCACTTAGTGCCATGGTCTAGTGACCACGGTAGGGATGGACTTGATGATCTTGGAGGTTGATTCTATGATTCTATGGATATAAGGTTTAAAAATACAACCACTAACATCTGAGACTTCAAAAGTGATTGTTCCAGAGCAGATCAGCTGCTGGATGCTCAACAGAAGTGCAGGTTAATTTCTCCCTGAGGATAAAGGCGACAGACACTGTCCTACCCTGAGCTGTCACTTAGCAGAGATAGGGCTCAGCCTTATGTCTGTCACTTACTTCTCTTCATGTGGAGCTAATGACTCATCTTCCACCACCAGAACCACCTGGAGAGGAACTGGTACATTCCCTTGTGTACACAGGGTCCTGCAGGCTCCTTAGCCATGCCCCTGGGTGCCCTACCATGGGTCATCCACAAGGTATGTGTAGGTTTGATGTTGACCTCTGCCTGCTCTTAAAACACAGCATAGAGATATTCACAGTCACAGAGCCTGGATGGAGTCTAACTTCACCAGAGGAGGAAAGCATACCAGCATGGAAAAACCTTTCTGGGCTTGCAGGAAAGGTCAAGCAATGTCTCTGGAAGCCAAACCACACAGCCAGTCTGACATCTGCCACATGGACACAAGACATGCACCCAGAGATGTGCTGCTTGTTGAGGTTCTCCTACCTGCTTGGAAGATGAGTCATTGACACCGATATCCTTCCCAGTAAGAGACCAATAGTAAGAAGCCACATGAATTTTTTCCTGGGCTAGATCAAGCAGTCTCATCCAGGCTTGGTACAAGGGTTTGGCTGCAGTGCTATTTATCTCAAAGGGTAAGTCATAAGGGACATTTTCCACCAGTTCAAAGCTGCAATGGCAATTGGATACGGTGAAGCAAGTGACTGAGATCCAAACACCTGTCAGGCCACAGAGTTGGCCATTTGGATATGAACCTCCAAAGTCAACAAGATGTATTTTTTATAGCCAGGCTTAGATCATGCCTTGTCCTCCCAGCTCCAGCAGAATGGTTTCTCAATAGGCATTCTGAGCTTTTCATTTTACCATCTTTCAGATAAGGAGAAAAGTAACCCCTGAGGCTGGATGTCACTTTGATACCCTCTTCACACTCTCCAAGGACAGATGTCGCCTGCCCCTCCAGCCCCTGTGCCCAGCAGAGGATGCTTTGCCTGCTGGTGACCCTGCTGCCTCCCACCACTGTCGCAAAGGGAGGAAGGGAGGAGGGGTCAGAGGAGCACCAGAGCTGTGCTGAACACACAGGCACAGGACTGGGATTGGAGCTGTGCTACTGCTCCTCATAGCAGGAACCTACATCTTCCCCAATGCCTAAACAACACCCAAATTAGTGCTGCTTATGGTACAATAGGAAGAGAACAAAATCCAGGCTGATACTACCAGCACTGTAACTATTTCTCCACCCGGTGATCATTTCTCCACGTGCCATCAAACCTGACTCACCTGCAGGAGTCATTGAATCTATTGGTGTCCTCCTCAGTTATTGTGCCATAGAGTCCTTCCTTCTCCAGCTCTTTGTAAATATTGGCAACTGCTTCTTCTCCATTAGGAACAACTGTGCTCTCCACTCTCATGAAGGAAACAGCCATCAGGACAACAAGACCAAGCATCAAAATTGACCCTAAGATTTGAAACTAGAAGAGAAGCCACACAGGAGAAGACTTAAGAGATCACCAAGTACTGATACACCAGCTGATGGATGACTACGTGTGCAGGTGAATAAATCACAATCTTTGAGGAGTAGTTCTGCTTTCAGCTACTGGCAAACTGTTCTTAGATGCAGCACTGGAAGTGAGGACCATTTGTTCAAGGTCAGCTTGGATTGAGTTCTGAGCAACCTGATGTAGCTGAAGATGTCCCTGCTCTTTTCATGGGGATTGGACTAGATGACCTTTAAAAGGTCCCTTCCAACTCAAACTATTATTCTATGATTCTATGACCACAAACTAGGTGTGGGTTGGTTTTTATGTGAAGACCAACAGGAACCATCAGGACACAATGCTGAGCCATGTGCTCTGGGATGGCTCTGCTTGAACAGGGAGGTTGGACCAGATGACTCATTATGGTCCCTTCCAACCTGACTGAGCCTGTGGTTTCTGAACATGTTCTGGCTTTGTCTTCTGACTGAAACCTCACTTAAGTGAAACTGCACAAATCTGTGTGAGCAGCATTACTTGCCATTCTAATGTGGTGAATTAGCTTCATTTCCCTTTTGCTGCACTTCCAGATTTTTTCCTGAATGTAGATGAATGAAAACAAAAATAGCTTGGCTGTGGTAGATCCAGATCTGGAGTGCAGCCACTCACGTGCTGAAAACCACAGCACCAGGCTCTAAATGCTGCCCTGGGCTGAGGAGAGAAAGACAACCACCAGCACAGACCCACTGCCCTCTCCCAGTTACAAGGCCTGGCTCCCAGTGTCAGCCCTTGTGAGCTGGGACCATCCGGCAGTTTGTGATAGGTAATGTGTCCTTCAGAGCTGAGCTGTTCAACTTCCAGGCGGGAGAACTGAGCCTGGGGGGCTGTTGGGAGACTGTAGCTGTGGATCTGAGCTCCCAAATGGGTACACAGGAAAGCTGCACAGAAACCAGCTGCCTCTAAACGTTTCTCCTTCAGTTTCTGTGTGGATAAAGTTATTCCTTTGCTTTCCTCAAAATCTACAGTGCTGCCATTGATTTCTGGGCACTGACTTGAATGAGAAAAACATTTCTACTTCAATTTTTGCCCTCTGCCTCGTTCTCCATCTCATCAAGGGCAAAAAAACCCAACATCCCACCAATTTTTAACCGCCCTGCATTTCATCCTGTGAGCACTTTGGCAAGATCTACACATTGCTCAGGTTTTAGAAGACATTTCTAAGGTAAAAAAAAGCTGCTTTGAAGTCACGTCTTGGCTGTCACCAGGCTACACACTGTGATGTCCAGGTGCTCTAGGCATGCTGAATAAATGAATACATGAATACATGAATACATGCTATGCTGAGGATGGGAGTGAGGCTGTTTGTCTGAGCGTGGTTTGCTGTCCTGAGCCAGACAGAGCTGCAGGACTCAGCTCCACGTTGCTCCCTCTCGGCAAGGTTTGATCAGTCTACTGGATAAATCAATGAGGGTTTTGTCACTCACTTGTTTACAAATAGGATTGAAGCCTAAAACGGGCAATAAAATCATCCTTCTTAAGCTGCTAGTTCTTCTCAGGAGTGTCAGTGTAATCTCAGCTCTTGTGAGCAAATGTAGTGTGTCCCAATAATTACCGTTCTGACGAGTCTCGGGTTGTTCACGGCTAATTTCATGTCCGAGGACTCATTAAACACCAGAGATGTCTTCAGTGCTTTCTTCACAAGCTGAAAAACACAAATGTATGCGAGGGGGAAAATAAAACCTTATGGCAACATTTCTGTACAGCCAGTTAGAGACAAAAAACACAGGTTACTGCCAATGTTTGTATGCTGCTCTGAGGTTTAAGTACAGATCTGTGCAACATCCCCCCTGAATTATGGGCCTTGAGTGACACAAATAGATCCCAAAGGGAGAGACAGGTCCCTGCAGCTTCTCCCCAGTGCTGTCTACACACAGAAATCCCTGCAGTAATTAATGTGCAAACAACTGCATCACTGCCTCTATCAGCCACCCTTCAACACCCACTTCAGTCCTGCTGCAAGTGAACAGATTTGCCACCAAGCAATAATTGAGCTGTGGGTGAGAGTGCCACCCTGTGTGACTCTGGTAGGATCCTGCTCTCTCTTCCAGGGCCTGGAAACACTCAAGTTTTAGGTAGAAGGGATTCTGCCAGATCTGTCCCATCCACCCTGCCCTATATTCACAGCTCCAGGCACCTGCCCTGGATGGGCTTGTGGTGTTTGCCCTCCCCCACCAAACATATCCATGCTGTGTCCAGCTCTTGCCCACCTCACATTCCTGGAGTTATGCTGTGATACAGGGAATAGGTAGGAGTTGGACACCACACAGACACAGCCCCAAAAGCTCCTTGTGAGACACAACTCACAAGAACTGGTGGGGCAGAACCCAAGAGGTGGAGGATGTCTTGGAATTCAAGGGAGGTAGGACTGAAGCAGTGCCTTGGGGAATGCAGAGAGGGATGTGAAAAGAGAGGGCCCATGGCAAAAGGGCAGACAAGGGAGAATTATACAGGTGGAAAAGGTGGAGGGGGACAAAAAGGTACAACACAAGAGCTTGTTGTGGTTACAAGCTGTAATCAGCAGTGCTCACTTTGCAAGGCATTTTTACTCACACTTTTCACACTGTCACTTCCTTGTGCTGCCCCAGGCTCAGCTGCAAGCTCTTACACCAGAAATAGTTCTAACTGCTGGCAGGAAAATGCCCATTCTCCCAGCCCTGGAGAAATGGAGAGGCTGCCAGCACTGCAGGATACCATTCCCTGGTGAATGTTGGGTCCTCATGCCCCTGAAATCCCAGTTCAGGTTTCAAACACAGTATAAAGATCTGATGTCTTAGCCCAAAGAGCTAATAGCCCAAGCAGTCAGGGGGATATCACACATCATGCAAGGAAAGCTGTGTGACAGCAACACATCATTCCTCACCCTAGGAGAAAATCCTCATATAGCAACCCAAAAAGCTTGGTGGGAGCAAAAGGAAGAGAGAGAAAGATAGATGGTGCTAAGGAGTGGGGAAGGAAACTGAGGCAAAGGGATTTTAAAGGAGGAGGATAAAGGCAGCTGAGAAGCAGCAGCAGCAGCTTCAGCCTAGAATCACAGAAGTCATAGTCTCATCAAGGCTGGAGGAGCCAACCATTAACCTGTCACTGCTGGAACTCCTAAACCCTAAACCAGATCCTCCAGTGCCACATCCAGACACCTCTGAAACACCTCCAGGGGTTGTGACTCCACCACCTCCCTGGGCAATATCCCAGGGCCTCAACACCACAACAGGGAAAACATTTCTCCTCACATCCAATCTGACTCTGCCCTGGCTCAACTCTTGACCATTCCCTCTATCCTCTCCCTGCAGCCCTGGCAGGACACACATCCCTCACCTGTGCTGGCCAGAAACAAACAGCCACCACAGGCACTTCCCATCACAGAACCTGAGCTGAGATGTGTCACCTTGTCCCTCTGGCCCCCAGAGTCCCATTTTGGTGGCCCAGGCAGTTTCGTGGTAGGAAACTGCAGCTGACAGCACATTGCCAGCTACGTGATGGGCTCAGCAGGGCAGAGCTTGTGAGAAACAACTTGTTTCAGTTCTCTTTTCTGGCAGCAGCTACAAAATGGCTTCAAAAAGCAGCATTTCTCTTCAAATAGGAAAGTGAACAGATCTCATATGTGCTGTAATGGAATCATCTCTCCTTCAGTTCAAACAAAGCCCTTCTTGGTCTCTTTGCCTGGGGATGGGTTAGATTCCACCTGCTGCACACAAGTCATGAGAACTGCACTGAAATAGGCAGTTTCATCTTCCAGAAGGAAAAACATCACAGACTCAACCAGATTTCTTGAGAATAATGGTGGAGCTGCTCAGCAATTACCTATGGCTCCCTCAAAGCTTTCAGGGCTTTACCAGATGCCAATTTCAATGACTGAAGTTCATCCAAGAGCAATAAATACAAGTGCTACTTAGCATTGCTTCACGGGCTGGAACACCAGCTAATCCCACAGTCTGCTGAGTGCACAGGAGGCTGCTGCTTGTGATATTAAGGCTGCTTTTCTCCCAGCCCCCAAAACAGCTTTTGGCACTTCTTTTCTCCACCAGCAGAAAACTGTGCCAGATTTTGCATTTAGAACACAAGGATGATAGTTTTCACTGTACAAAGTCCTCCCCAGGAGCTGTTGGAAGCTCCTCAGATGAACAAAGTGGCTACCACCACCACCACCCCAGATCTCTCAAGATGATGGTAAATGTACTTACCATCCTGGCAGATCTCCTCGTCGGTGGATGTCCTACTGTTCTCTGGTGTTACTCCCAACTCTACTGGCAAAAGGCAGTGTGCATTCCTTGCACCAGCAGACTTGGTTTGGGTTCTTCTGGTTTTTACCCCTCCTGCTGCAAATCACTTCCTCTTCACCACTGAGTTTCACAACACACACTGGCAGAGTCTCCAGCTATCATCATCTAGTTGTTGTGACCCAGTTGTTAGGCTCCAGGTCTTGATCTTCACTTGTTTGGCACAAATATCTGCAGTGTCTGATCTGGTTCAAAGTCTGTGGGATGGCAAAGTTCCCTCTCAGGGGTGTAAAGTCAGGGTCTAGATCAGCAGGAGAAGACACTGGTTGGAAGGACTGCTCAGCATCCTGGACATGGCAGAATTCTCACTGCTTCATTCTTAACCCACCAGAAGTTTCATTTTAAACAGAAAAATCAACCCTCCAAATCAGTTTCTCTACCCAGAACCAATCTCTCTACCCAGTTTCTCTTGCAAGCAAATTTCTGCCCAGTCATCCTAGGAGAAAAACAAGGAAGCAAAGTAACTGCTTTGAAATGATACAGTTTTCAACTTGCATATGTGCCATGTGGAGTTTGCAGTGAGGATGTTGAGGAGGCATTGTCTGAGGCAGCTTCTAAGAAATTATGCCTTCTGTACAAATCCAAAAGCTGCACCTCAGCCCACACAACTCCCTCTGGCCATGCTGCTGCTGTTCCCCAGGCAGCTCATTCCCACTGAACCCAAGGATGCAGTTCCCTAGTTCAGTACCAGAGCAAGGATGGTGTAATGTGTCAGTGGAGAGACAGAATGGAACTTGAGGCTTCGTCATACCTTGTCTTAAGCTGCTGAAGACAGGAGAGCTAAGAGGAGCCAGATAGGTTTGCTACGGCAGAAAGAACTGTAAGTGTCCTGAGTCCCTTGCTTCCCCTAAGACCAAAACACCAAAGCATTAACTCAAACAAGGCCAAAAGTTAGAGGAAGTGAGATGGTGGAGTAGATGGGACAGCTGTCTGACCAGCCAGCTCTTTCCTGAACCTGCTGCTGTGCACAGATCACTCACTGGTCACAGGGGACTATCCCACAGCTCTTATTAAAACAGGGCTTAAAAACAAGGCAAAGGCTGCTGCTGGCCCTGCAGGCTTGGGCCACCAGAAAGCTGGAGGCAGGATCTGCAGCCAAGAAAAAGAGGCAGATCCACTGAGCCTCCGTGCTCTAAGTCCAAATCACCTCTGGACAGTGTCCCTGTCCCTCTGCTGACTCCAGAGGCTGAACATCCCAGCTCAGTATTTCAGCTAAGCCCCTGGTCAGGTGCAGGACTGAAATTCCGGCAAGAATTATGTCAACATAAAGCTCCCACTGACTTTGGGACTGTACCACACAGGCAGCAAACACCTGGTATCACGTTCAGGACTTACCACTTATTGCTCCAACATCCCCAGTTTAGTTCAAACCGGGAGGGGTTGGGCTATACCAGAGAAAAAGCAGCTTCCAGAAGAAGGATTCCTATTTCTCCTCCTCCTCAGCAGCTCTCTGGCCACTTGCAGCACTGACAAATTCCATCACCATCCTCTCCAGCTTGCAAAATCCTTCTTGCCTTTTGCTCATCTGATCGCACACTCCAATCCAGCAACATTTGTGCATTTCTGATCTTATCAGCACTATAGCTTTGAGAGTTTAAGGACAGAAACAGGTTTGTGGGGAGAATGGGATCCTATTTGACCAGCAGGACTGGGCACTGGGGAGGTCCCAGCTCAGTGCTGTGCTCAGCTTTGGGCACTCACTGCCCAAAGGCCATTGAGGCACTGGAGCAAGTCCAGCCAAAGGCAACGAGGGCAGCAAAGGGCTAGAGCACATGGGCAAGGGCTGAGGGAGTTGGGCTTGGTCAGCCTGGAGAAGAGGCTCAGGGGTGACCTCCTGGCTCTCTGCAACTCCTGCTAGGGCTGGAGAGAGGTGGGGGATGTGTGTCCTGCCAGGGCTGCAGGGAGAGGATAGAGGGAATGGCCTTGAGCTGAGCCAGGGCAGAGTCAGATTGGATGTGAGGAGAAATGTTTTCCCTGTTGTGGTGTTGAGGCACTGGGATATTGCCCAGGGAGGTGGTGGAGTCACCATCCCTGGAGGTGTTTCAGAGGTGTCTGGATGTGGTACTGGAGGATCTGGTTTAGGGTTTAGGGGTTCCAGCAGTGACAGGTTAATGGTTGGACTCAATGATCTAAGAGTTCTCCTCCAACCTTGATGGTTCTATGATTCTATAATTTGAACTTGTGCAACTGGAGGGAGGAAAGAACACAAGTGGCAAGTTTCAGGGCAAACAAACAATCTTCTTTATCCTCCCTCTTCCCCATCTCTCAGACAAGGCTCCTTCTCCAGCTGCTCTGGCTGAGCTGCCACACATAGGGT